ATATGTTATGGTCACACGCTAATTAGCATGAGGGTTTTATTGTTAAGCTAATTCTCAGCACTTGGGTTCCATTAGGGCTGTAAGTCAGGGTCCACAGAAAATCTAATAGCTGCTCATGTTAAGCATGTGTATTTTATGCACATATATTACTATCTTTGCCCAACGTTTTTAATTATAGGCTTTGAATAGGTAGCATTTTCCAATGCATAATGATACACTGTCCGTTATGAGAGAGTCTTTTAACAATTGGTTTATGCACATGTAGTGCAGGTCCACATGTACCGCTTACAAGACTGTCGTAAGTAAATGTGTGAATACATGGTTCTTTACGTATGTATTTGTGGTGGATCCGACAAAAAAAATGATGTGGCAAAAGGTCAAAATATTTCACACCAATACAAAAACCACAAAAAAAAATAGCTGAACAAATAATATGGGATGATTCTGCTATATTTGACAGGCTTAGCTTTGGAGAAAGCCAATGCATGGTGTTGTGTTGCTTGGCTTATAATCAAAAAATGTTTTTGTCTTTTTTTTTTAATTTTTTAACCACAATGATTAAGGATTAAGAGGACATGAAAACCTTTTTTTCTCTCTATCTATCTTTTTTTTTTTTTTTTACAGTTCTTAGACACAATGTTGCACAGAAGCTAATATGAGCCACGGTATAAAAGCAACTCAATTTCATCTGCAGAGAGACCATTTGTCTAAGCACATCTCATAAATGAGATTGGCATGTGTAGTTTACCTTCAGTCATACACACATGCACACACCGCATGTACGGACATGTTGTTCAAAAGAGCCAGGAGCCTGAATAAACACACCATCTCAACATAAATGTACCACTTGTCACAGATTTGCTTGAACAAATTTCACAGTGAAAATAAAGCACACACATACATGCTAGCAATGGCAGCAAACTTGCTTCGCTGCCAAACGAGATGTGTGAATACAGCATTGATGACAAAGAAAATCATTCGCCTGCTTCTGATAATCAGGCCTGCAACATATGAGATGAACTCCTGGCAAGATAATTTGCATTGTACGTGGCATCTAATTAAATGTCCATAAGCAGGAAAATCCAAGGCTAGAGCTGTGTGTGTGTGTCTGTGTTTGTGTGTTTATAAAGCTTACAGTGGGAGAAAGAACATGTGTGGGTGTGTGTTAGCGTTCTGGGCTGCTCAATCCCTTGTTCCCGGAGGGAGAAAAGCTGCAATCACTCCATTAGCAAAAGATGGAGGGAGACGGGGATGCTGGGGGGAAAAAGCGGAGAAAGAGAAGGATGTGGAGAGGAGGGCAGGGGGGGCGGGAGAGAGACACAACTGACTTGGCCAATAACAGCAAATGAGGTTAGATACAAGTGGAGAGGGGGGTAGCTGGGTCAATGAGTGCCGAGGACATGGACACAATGAGTTGAACATGGGAGGGGAGGAGGGATGGAGGTGAGTGACACCTGATAAAGAGGAGCGGGGTTGAGGGAGAAATGAAGTGCAGAGACATATATAAGACACGGAGACAAATGAAGACAGAGGAGACGACTGAGGTAAGAATAGCAGCACGGATTGATGGAGTCAGGTCCGGTGGGCAGGTCGAGCAGCACACGCACTGCAGTTTCATTTCTGTGAGACCGTGCTCTCAAAGTAAAAAGAGACATTTGTCTTTGTGTGCGCATGTTGTGCTGAACCAGATAAACATGCATCAACCCAAGTTAGAAGTCACACGACCAGAATATAAACATGACAAACAAACATGTCACATGCAGACACGCTCCCACCAAACAATCAAGTCTGTGACTGGCACGCTCACCACATCATCCTCAACAAACAGAGATTGTTAACACATTGCAAGGTCACAGCAACGAGGAAAAACTCAAACCAGCCCTTGTGGAATAAACACACTGGAGGATTGTTGGCCTTTAACTGACTCAGATACACATCTCCATCATAGTTATTTGCTCTCTCACTGTTTAGTTTATTTGCAATCAAGTTATTTCAAAACTATTATAAGAATTACTAAGATTATGACACATTTGCTTTCATTTAAATATGGGCGTGCAGAAAATTAATCGATGGCATTGTTTGACATGTCTTTGAATGCTTTGTCCACTCCTATTTTTGTTCAAAACTGTTGAAATGGCCTCCCAGCGGACATCTTTGTATCTGGCAGACATGTTAGGAGGAAGGCAGGAGGCTGAAATCTATAACGCTAGATCAATATGTCACAGAGGTTGCGGTGGGCACCACAGCTGCCCCCGTTGAGTAAACAAGCTGAGGAAAATGATTGTCCTCTAAGTCAGGAACGACCCCAATCATGCTGCAGAATTGATTTTGCTCCTGTCTTTCTTCTTTTTTTGGTTTTGTTTTGCATTTGTTCTTACTTAACGACTGCTCAGTGTTCAATGACTAAGGGTTGAGAATAATTCCAGACACAGTGCGAAACAGATATGGAGAGAAAACGAGGCAGGCCTCTTTCCTTGTTCTTATCCACACAAGAGAGATTGATGGCTGTGCTCGTGTTTTCTACACGCCACTAATTGGATTCACAGATCATTAGATAAAGTACACAAAAGTGAGCCTGTTCCAGCTTAAAGACTGGAGCAGATAGACAAGAAAATGGAGAGGGTACGAGTGGGGCAATATTGATGAGGTTGTTTGGTTCAGGACCAATAAAATTTCCTCCCCCTCTGCTGTGCCTCCCAAGGCTTGTTCTACCTCTTAGAGGGGGGTTGATCGATAATTTGCAGTACAAAAAGGTGGGGGGTGGAGGCAACGGCAGGGAGGGTAGAGAAATAAAGAGAATAATGTTTGGCTCCCTTACATGAATCTCAAGTTGCCTGGTGTCACTCCTTAATATTTCATGGGAAGGGGAGGACAAGAGATGACACCAGCCATTATGTTCCACAAAAGAGCATAATCAGTGGATGAATTTCCTTCCCTCTCCCAAAGGCACAAGCCTGTGCCCCAGTTTTGGGGACGACGGGGTGCCTTAAAGTTGAGCCGGCAAGGAGGTAGTTTATTCAAACGCGACAAAAATCAGCCATCATTGTTAAAGAGGATCTCCGGCTGTCGCTGTGGTCGCGGGGTGTCTGGGACGTGTCGCCCGCTCACAAAGAGAGCTCACCGAAAAACGCTGTACTTGCTCAGAAAGCCAGCAGGGCTTGTTGTTTTAACATAGGAGGACAAGGGTACAGTCTGCTCAAACACATACAAGCACGCAGATGGCTGTTGGTTAATTACAGATGGACTGGGGGAGGGAGTGACGGAGCAACAGACACAGAGGGCTGAAGATAGAGGTCAGCTACTGTGGCCACTATTCTTTCCCTCTCCCTGGACAATTACCTGCGTCAGCCCCGGACCTCTCGGGGTGCTCTTAATCAAGGTGCAGGTGTGTGGGTTTTCAAACAAGTGTGTGTGTGCGCATGTGGAGGGGGGTTCTTGCCACCCTCAGCATTTTCTAGCAGCAATCCGATTAAAGCCCCGCCGCTTTGGGGCCGGGCAGCAGGGCCTAAAGCTCACCTTAAAACTTATTTTATACACACCAAGCCCCGTTCACTTCCAGCAGGACTCATACATTGGCGAAGATTTGTCCCACACCCTCAGATATGTACGTTTATTCATCATTCGGCCCCTTCACATAGCAGTGTATGAGGCTGGTGACCTGGCTGTGGCTCTTGGCAGTGATTACTTTGGCCCCAGGGCCTCGCCCCCTTCTCCATAAGTGTTTTGTGCTCTGCTCAGACAGCTCATCCCTTACAAGACGGCCAAATACCTGCTCTGGAAGGCTTAACCGTGCCTTCATTAGGCAACACGATTCCATCGACTGCATATTTCAGTAGCCGTCGCCCATTAAATGGCGTATTTGTAGAAAACTTTGACCAAGAAGGGGTTCTACTTTTCATTTGTGGCAGTTAGAAACCACATAAAAGATCAATTAAAAACAATCACACTCAGCTGTATAATCAATTTCAGGCTTCACTGATAAATATCCATTTGGCCAACTTGGACCAGCAAACGTCCTCAGCCAAGAATCAACAATTGTCTGGGTGCGCTGACCTCAGAGTAAAAATCCAACATGGAGGCAGTCCGCCTTTACCGGTGGCATACAAACACCGATTCTGACAATAAAGCCGTGGAGGATCAAGTCGGAGACGAGCTGAATAAGATATTCCGCATCAGCTGTATGTGGCAGTGAAATGTTCGTGACTCACGCAGAGTGTGTCAGGCAATTACAGCACAGCAAGCTAACTGCATTTCTCAACCCATAATGCTGAATATCCTCTTTCATCTGCAAGAACAAAGAGCAATCTGTTGTGGGTGAACCTCAGAGTAACTTCCCTTTTAAAAAACACAGAGGCTGCAGTGAGAAAAATCAATTGTGTGAGAGAGAGAGAGAGAGAGAGAGAGAGAGAGACGAAGTGTGTGTGTGATACATTTTAAATGCAGTGTTGCTGAAAAGCAAGCACAAACTCACTCAACTGACTGTGCCTGATGAATCAGCCATTCTCGGCAGCAAATTAAAAACTAATTTCTTTCTTTATTCAAGGAAAGAGGTAATTTGCCCACATTAGGTTGTTAAAAAAAAAAAAAATCAATTTAAACCTGGTCATGGTCTCCCTCATTAAATCAATTAGGTGCATCCACAAACATCTATATTTTCATTACACAACACCTTTGCAATAATTGGATTGCAAAGGCCTGTAATGGCCGAGCCAGATTCTCAGAGGGATGTTTATTTGTCTATGCAGCCCAACTAAAAATATGACAAGTATTTTTAAACTGCTTGTCACTTGAATCAATACTCAACTCTCAACAGACCTTTTCGTGCTCACGCAGTTGTAGCACTCACACTTTTGTAATGTCTTCTCTTGTGGGGTTTAAAATAAATGTAAAAAAGGAAAGAAAAAAAAAGGCGTACTTCCTCTCACTGGACATGTGGTGGCTTGGTGGGTTTGTGCTGAGAACAAAGAGACAGAGACAGAAGCTAAAAGAAATCTACTCACCAGCTTGAAATCCTGAATGCTACAAATGAAGTAGGGAGTATTGGGCCGCCGACTCTCGATGTACACACAATCTGCAAATGAGGGGGGGGAGAGAGAAGAGTTTCAAAGATGATATTCACACTTATCAAAGCTTTCATGTTTTCAAGCAGCCACACTCAGAAACATATCATTTTGTGTGCAGTTACCTCTGCTGAAAAGACATTTTCTCCTTGAGTCAGATTCAATTGGAATGCGAGTAATAGGATTAAAGACTTTTGGAGTGCTACAAGGTTGCCTTTCCAAAGCAAACATTACACCCAAGGGGAATTATGTTATTGTTCCACTCCATTTATACACCAGTGAGCAATACTGACTTTAACCTCATTCCGCCCTCCAGTCATCACACCATGGAGTCAACACTGGGGGGGACAAAATCCACAGAGGGGGGAAGAGTTGGGGAAATTGTTAAAACACATTTTATGCCGTTCTAAAAATCTTTTCATTCATGAATAAAAAGGATTAGCCTTTTATGTAACCATGCTGTCATTATTTGTGATACGAGATTTGATTAAACACTGAAAAGCCAAAACTGTAATCATAAGAAAAACATGAGAACACGTCAAGGGAAGAAAAGTTTAGACACCGTGGCCAAGTTCTTTTAAACATAGTCAGACAGAGGCGTTGTTAGGCTCCAAGTGGGAGGTTTAGCCCAGCCCAGAAATGTCTGGATCTCCATACAGTAGGCACGCCAATCCCAGTTATCAACAGGCCTGCTTTATATTTAATGTTTCATGCTTAGCAGCTGCAATAAAACACTAAAAAACTTTAGGCCTCGGCATTGATGGTATTCATGTAGTATTGGATGTTATTAAAAACGTGATTACATTATGTGTTCACTTTTTTCCTCTATTTACCGGCTCTCAGAATCACTTCTGAACTGTACCAAAAGCATGTTAGCTCTGTGTCCTCCTAGAAACGCTCTTCTCCTTCCCCGGGTCATACTGTCCTGTCCATTTGCTCCATGTCTCATTACTTAGTCTGCCTCATGAGGCAAACAAGTCTCAGTCCTTCCCTGCAAGCTATGCTACCAAAGTAGAGACCTTAAAGCCCTTCTGGGCATCAAACCGTTGGCCCTTTTTTCATTTTTTTTTTTCCTTTCTCTCTTTTGATTTTCTTTGCTTTAGAAAGTACTGAAAGATTAAGACAGCATAATGTGTGACTTCAACTGTCAAGTCAACTAAACCACATAAGTCAGGAGCATTTTTTTCACATTAAATTTGTTATACACCACAACACCACTTGGACAAATCCCATGTACCTCCTTTTAGCTAACACAAACCAGGTGCTCCTCCTGTGCCAGAGCAAGCCCAGAGTTGGTTCAACTTGCAAATGTTCAAACACGTGCCCGTGATCAAGTGCAGGATGTTTTTTTTTTTTGCATAAAAATAGTTTCCACTAAGGTTCTCTGTAGTTGAACCTCTGTCGAGTACAAAAGTCCAACAAGAGGTTTTTGGTTTTCCTATTTTTCTCCTCATTTTTATGATGGAGCATCGCCACTCACCATCAAGAGGAGCTGCTGCTATAAACAGGCAGTGCGTGCAAACGGAATATGCAATGCAGACACTGCAAAGAGCATTTCTATACAATGCGTGGCAGCACAAAAACAGTGAACAGTACTTCAGAGTGCAGCATGCAGTGTGTAAACATCTTCCTCTGATGGACACAACTGTTTCATTAGATAAAAAAAATCAGGTGAAAGATAGTTTAAGGCTACAATAATTTCTCCTTCAAACTACAGCTCTTTCTTCATTACTTCTTTGTCTGGATTAGGCAGAGTGGTCGAAAACTCTGTTTTGACCAGCAAAGCGTTTGAGTCATTCCAGAACCAGTTTTCATCCCGTAAAGCCTTTCATCAGACTAAAGATTAACACCGGCTCCATAACAGCACAGGTCAAAACAGGCCCTACGGAACCACATGTCACTGTAGTATTAGGACCAGCAGAAATAAAGCCGGTCATTTATCGAGCTCTCTTTATTCGTTTAGATGGAAACAGTGAGGAGGGTGTGTTGCACCAATATGCCATATGTCTAATAAGCTTTGGATTAGCTGAAGTGAAAGAAGAAAAAAAAGAGTAATCCAGCCCTTTGTCGCACTCGTTTTTAAAATGGTGCTTAATGATGTCAGCGGCAGCTCTGTAACATTGTTTGAGAAGAGGTGGCTTTGGCTGGCTGTGTTGTTAAATTGAATGTGACTGGTGGTATGGCCAGGTCATGAACTCTCATCTCCTTAACAAAAACATTCACGCTGCAGAGGACAAGAACACACAGCCACTTCTGTGTAGAAGAAAGGGAGGAGGCAGCAGGAGGAACGGCTAATGGCTACTGCTGAGCCTGCCACAGCACTTTCCACACATAGCCAAGTGTAAATAGACTTATTATAGGAAAAGGAGACTTGAAATCACAAAAGTCACCTACACTGCTTCTTAGCTGAGCCACATAAACCAGAGGGTGCCCAAGCTGTGCATAATGCATATCCAGTTAGAGGATAATAATATCTTTACTGGCCCTTCAGGCAAAGCATTCCAAAAAACACAGGCACAAATGGTTTGAAAACAAAAACATCCAACACACATTAATACCCTGCTCTCTTTTCAGAAATAGGCAATAAAACAGTCTATTGTGCTGATGGCAGGGATGTTTCCACCCTAAATATTTGGTACACACCGTCTGCCACCGTTAAAACGGGGAACTTTTATGCAGGCGGAATACACTCTGCGGCTCTGTAGGCTTTCCCACAAAAACGCCGCCAGAGGTAAGGTTTACACTGACAACACAGACTGCGGGTGCTTGTGTCACCAAAACACGAGCCCAGCCTTTCCAAGGACAAGCACTGAGCCACACTCGCCCTAACAAAAGATCCGCAGCTACCTTTTTTTTTCCCACTGACGGACACTGCCATCATCTGTTATTTATTTGTTTGTGTCAACACAGTTATCGATCTGGCTGTGGTTTATCTTACTGCTTGCAGAGGAAAAGAGGGGTGGCAAAGATATTAAATGGCTCTGACACCCAAGATACCATTTGTAGAAGGGTTGGTGTATACAAGTGCGCCTCTGACATCATTGGCTTTGTTTTTTGAGAGGTTCTGTGTGTGTGTGCGTGCGCGTGTGTTTGTAACCCCAGGGTGGGCTTGTTATCTACTGTGAGCTGAATGAGCTGTTCTAAATGGAGGGAGGGGGAGTTTATCGCCTACACTGGGTCTGAGTGACGCATTATATCTCTCTCTCACTACTGCCCTCTTCCCACTTTTCCCCCTGTCCTTCCTTTTTCTCCTGCCTCCTCCACACCATCCCTGGAAGTCATTTACAAGATAACATGAATGAAAATATCCATCAGCTCTATTGTGTGATCTGTGAGCAACAGAGAGTGTGTGTGTGTTTTGAGGGACACAGTAAAGCGGGTAGGGGAGGAGGGAGCCGGCTGGAGGGAGTGGGGGAGGGCAGAGAACAAAAGAGACTAATCTGAATGAGATGACATGTTTCAAAGGAGTCAAATCGGGGGAATTAGGGTTTAGTATCCCCTCACCTTGGCGGCAAATTCATTTAGAAAGGCCAGATCTCCATGTCTCCACCGATGAGCACATCAACAGGCAGAAAGAAAAAGGCAGCCAGAGTGAAAAAGATAGGGTGAGGTGGTGAAGAGAGGGGGCACGGGGATCTAGTTTAATCATTCACAACCAGCAAGCAAGTCTATTTTTCCGATGTCAAACGCACATTTCGGATTTATTTTGGGCACTAAAAGTCTTCATCTCAAGGGCATTTCTCAGAGTGACTAGAACACGCAAGTTAAATCCAAGTTAACGGTTCTCAGACTCTTCTTTTTGAGTGAAAAGAAGGCTATGGAGCTCTGGGAGCCCGCGTGGGATAAAGGGGAAGGTGGGGGGGGGGGGTGTTGAAATGGGCAACCCAGGTCCTCAAGGGTCTGCCTGGCTTGTTAAACATTCCTGCCATTTTGTGCATTTGGAAGTGGGTCTCCTTGCTCAAGTGGAGAGGTGGAAAGGGGAGGGATGAGAGGGGTTTAACGGTGCTGGGGGTCTTTGTGGGGGTTGGGCAGATTTTTTTGGTGGTGGGGGGGGCTGAAGCCTGTGTTAGCGGCATGAATGTAGCCTCCAGTGTATTAGAAGGCAGCCCTCGACAGAGTATCAGTAAATGAATGCTCTCATTCCTTCAGCAGCTGTAAGTTGTACTTCCACGATCCATTTCTGCCCGCGCACACACAGACAAAGACGTGCAGCTGAATGCTTTGACCAAAGCAGATAATCTACAACTCCTGGAGCCTCGAAGAGTCGATTGTGCTGGACCCTGTTCCTCAAATCACACCATTCCCGCTGAATTTGAGTAATTGCATATTGACTCGTGACACACGCAGAATCATTTTCCAGCTGTATTTCTTTGTTCGGCCTACCCCACTAAGGCTGCCAAGTATGTCTAATCTAAAACACACCGACCCTCAGCAAAAACAGCCCTGTGTTATTCTCTCTGAATCAAGCAAATAAGATGCAGTTTAATTTGCTGCAGCATTCCAGCAGAGGGGAGGGAGGGGGAGATCTTAGATAATATCAGAGCGCCTTTTCTTTTACGAGCCAACAACAATGAGCAAGTCTCATTGTGAACGCGGCCATATATGCCAGTGTTTTGTAAACAGTGCTGTGGGAGAAAGGGTGAATATTTATAGGATGTGAGCCAGGCTTATTAAATCAAAAAGGAGTGTATGTTTAAGTCGTGTTTGCAGGTGGGAAGTGAAAACCATGCGGCAGGATGCACCTGCATTGTTAAAATTGGTGCTGGGCTCAACCTGAAAGAGCTCACACACACGCGCTCACACACACAGAGCAAAGTAGTGTGTAGCTTAGAAAAAGGAAGAGAAAAAAAACACCCTCCCTCTAGTCTACTGATCCTAAAATTAAAAAGCACAAGGAATGCAATAATGGAAGCACAGTGGTGTGAGGAGACTGGAGGGCGAATAAAGACAAAGACAGCTTGGAAGAAAGGAGGAGACTGGTGTTACAAGTGATTCACAACAGGCTCCAGCAGCTCTGCGATCAGGACCAGTTGATGGCCAAGGCTGCTTTGTCCTACTTCCTGTTGGGTACTTCCCAGTGGGGTGGTGTTACAAGCACTCAAGGCCTGAAGGTGCAAGGACACTTGATTCTTCCTCGACTTTCCTTCCTCTACCAACACAACAAGTCTCTTCTTCTCAGCGAAAAGCAATGGGAAATACCTGGCAAGTGATACCATCAGCTTTCTACAATAAGGGCAGGCCAACAGCTGACTGAGCTCCTGGGGGAGAACAGAGGCTCTTTGACAACACAACCCCCACCCCACATCATATACCTCCAGCCCTCGCTTTTCCCTCTCGCACTTTCTCATTTAGCAGTCGGCAGGTGGTAGGATTTCACTAAAAAGTCCTTTCCCAGACTCTCTTGTGTGGGGAGACTTTCAAAAATAGATGTGTTCAGTTAACGACAGGCTACAGATTCACACTGCCATGTTTCAGCGGGAAATGACTCCCAGGACATGTCCCAGATGTAAACTCCACTAGAAGCTGCTCGGTGAGCGACAGCTAGCCTTTGCAAACACGAGTAATGTGCTGTGCTAATGTGACGGGCCAGTGTTTAGGCACATGTCACTGGGTTTGCAAACTTTCTCCAGATTTGGAAAATCTGGAACACACACACACACATCTATCTATCTATCTATCTATCTATCTATCTATCTATCTATCTATCTATCTATCTATCTATCTATCTATCTACTCTAAGGTTTCATAAATTAAGTTTGGATGACTTGCAGGGGGGCCAACAGTTCGTCCTTAGTTTTGACAAAAGAAGGAGGACTGGTTATCGAGCTCTGCGTTGGTGTCAGACTGCCTCCTGCTGTGAAGCCTGCTGTGCATGCACATGACGCGTACGCCTGTGGTGGTTGTAGTAGTAGGTGTTGTACCAGTGCCAGGTGTACACAACAACTTCCTCCACTCAAACGCTTAGCGTAGCCTGCATTTTTTTCTCCACGGCACTCACGTGAGGATGATCACATCTTAAACTGTTTTTTTTTTAAATACTGTAATTATTCAAGTCAAATCTTTGGTGTGATAATGAGGGCACTGTGTTGCGTGTCATGCATTAAGCAGAGGAACAGAAGTGTGTAATGAGTGTAGTCTCCATTTTAAAATCAGCAGCCAGCAAGTCAGTAAGTTAGGAAGGAAGGAGACATGCGATGGCAGACAGCCACCAGCGACAAGCACAGTCCTGCTGCAGAGAGAGAGGGGGGACGAGTGCTGGGGAAGTTATTGTGTGCAAAAGCTGCTGTTTGTTGGAGAACACTTCCCATCAGAGATAGGAAACGTATACACTGGCTGGCCAAAAGAAAAACAAACGCTCACATTTTTTGGGCCACCTTCCAATTTCATTAAAGCAAACATTTGTCATGGTGAATTTTAGACTCTCGCCAAGACCTTGTATTGACTGGGATTTTTTCGTTCTTCAGTACGTCCCAAAGATTCTCATAGGGTTAATGTCTAGACGGTAAGGTGCCAAGTCTAAGTGTGAAAATGGTGTTTCATAATCCTTCTCCAAACAACCAACTTCTCTTGTGCAGTCAGATGAATACTGAGACTGAAGTTTTTCTGTCCTCTATAGGCACAGTCCAGGATGTCAGTTTGCTTGAGGCTTAGTTTTAGGGCGCGTTTGCTACTCAACTAATGTAAGGCCAGAATTGATACATCTTGTGTATACCTTAGTGCGCACAATGAGATTCATTACATTGCAGCTGCTGGTGTGCATAAACACTGGTTATCAGCAGACTTTGTGCATAAGTGTGAATACAGATTTTATTTTGTGTCTCCAAGCTTTTAAGGGTGTCTCATATTGATCCCCTCTGGCAGTGAGTATAATCTCTAAAGAGAGGATCTATATTCTAAGGTGGGGGTGGATGAGTGTAAAGAACAGCTTGGAGCTGTTGAGCCCAGCCTGGAGAAGTGGTGCAGGCTCAGCCACAGGGTACAGATCGATCTGGCATGTCTGTTTGCCCTGCACTGGGCCGCCCGCCCCGGCAGTGGACCATACAAATAGCCCCGGACACAGTCCATTGGCAACCTGCACACACACACACACACACATGCACACACTCCTCCATGCCTTTTAAACAGCAGCCATGCTTGAGCTAGCTGCAGGTCCACCTACAAGCCACTTGCACTTCCCTTTCCAGCAGTCCCCATTCAATCGATAGCCTCTAAGCTGCCTGAAACAATCTTCAAGGGATAGTAAGTCTGAGCGGGGAGATTGGAGGATGGCTAGACAATGGAAGGGGTTTGACAACTGGCTTTCCTGTTATTTCTAATGTGAGGACACTGGTCTAGATGTTTCTATAGCTAATTTTGACAAAGGCAATCAAAGCAGCAATTGAACTTGAATTATTTTGCCTTCTGCTTTGCTCTCCATCACAACCCTCCTCCTCTCCTTGGCTCGGGTGGTGCAAATCCCTCTCTGAGGGTGGTCAGTTTTACATATTGTGTGTCACTAGACGGCTATAAAGGGATTTAACATTTAGTAAAGCATAATCCAATGCAGGCTTTGTGCCGGCCTAAGCTGCACACATCAAATCTGATTGCAAGAGAGCTGCTACCAATGACCAAGCATGAGCAGAAAAATAAGCACAGACAGACACACACACACACAGACGGCTTATCTCCGGAACAATAAGGAGAGGAGACAGCAGGAAGTCGGTCGGTAAGGTGGAGGATCTTCCATGTTGACACCGGGAGGTAAATTACAAATGAGTGTACGGGTGCTGAGGCTGTCACCAATGAGTCGAAGCTCATTCCTAATCTAAACTGATCTAACAGCTCCAGTCCTCATGGTAAGTGCGGGTTGTGACATTCATGCCCCTCTAAAATTGTCAAACTAATTGAAGGAGAGGACAAGAAACATAAATATTCCACATCATCAAGGCACTGGCTGCAGTGCTCGCTCATTTGGAGACAGCCTAGACTGGCCAGCGCCAATATGCCGTGACAGTCAACAACAACATGTCCTTTTTATTTATTTATTTTTGTCATTTCCTGACTCCATTTTATGAAGAAAGTGGAATAATTACCTATGACCTGGTCTGCTGATTAAGATATCTGTCAACAAATATAAAAGACATTTCTTTTTAGCTGCATCAAAAGACATCGCTTGAAACAGCGCTTAACTGTTTTCATCAGCTCTAACATGCTGTGCCTTGGGGCTGCAATAGCCCGATGGACCCCACTGTGTCAGAGTGAACCGAAACTGACAGCAGTGTCAACCTGCAGATACAAAGAGACACGATGGATCCATTTTTTGGTTTTTTACCAGTTTTGTTTTTGTAGCTGGCAACCACTCCGTGTCCAGTTGTATAAAACCTGACTCCTACTGCGGCGTAGTTTTTATTAAAAAAACAGCAACAACAAATAAACAAGGACTTTATAGTGCTCGGTAGACACTGCAGTCCTCTAATGTTAAATGTTGCTCCTCTTTTTATTAAGGCGCTGTGCAATTGTGTGGACGTGCATACATTAGGGTAGTTACAGAAGGGGAAGATAAAGCTACACAGTGGCTCTAATTTCCTCTGTCCCCCAATTAAATTCTTAAGCAGTGTGAACTCTCCTTCCACCACTTGACCTTTTGCTAGTTCCTGGATAAATTGAAAGACTCGGAGAATGATTTTGTTTCAAGCGGGATGGCACTGAGCAGCAGGGGAGCAGCAGAGAAAGTCTGGCTTCCTACTGTCACTAACTTGATATTCTCACCTGTAATGAAACTCTTATAAATAGTGCGCCAATGTGAGCGTTTTCAGCGATGTTAAAGGTTTGTTCTCTTTTCATCCTCAGCCATCTGATTCAATCAAGGCAGCTCAAAAATCTCATCTCTCCTGGAAACTGGAGTACCTTTGGGTCCCGGAGGAGACAGCATATTTTCAACGACTTAGACGGTGTAAGAATGAAATCATTATCATGGCTGTCGTTACGATCACATCACCCAGAGAAGCACCACTTTGCTTTATTGACTTACCTCAAGACAAAGCTCAGAGTGGGTCATGGAATTGATTGTATGATGCATTTGCCTCTTGCCTGAGGGAGTGTTTCTGCTGCTTTAGAGTTGATACATGCAAGCCTGTGATCCCTCTACAGTTCACTACAACTGACACATGGGTTCTTTAGGAACAATCAATTGGCTGTTAATCAAGGCTCGATTTCTCAATGCTTTAATTCCTAAACTTGGCTCTCTGAGCTCGAATCCCGCTGTACGAGTGTGTGTGCAAGAGGTGTTAAAAGTTTTACTTGGGATCACTAATACGGTTGACAAACGCAGTGTTGACTTAAATCGGAGGGGACACCTGATGACATGGTTAAAACCCACGGGACTCACCTCCGGGTCTGTAAACAACGTCGTCCTCTGTAATGAAGGAGGTGATTTCTCCGTTCTCTGTGCGCTCGTAGCGGGACTTCTTCTTGGGCATCTTCTTCTTGCCTTTCTTGCCGGCCTCCTCGGCCGTGCCGCTGCCCCCGCCAGTGCTGCCATTGTCGTTGTCCTCGTCCTCGCTGTGCTCGCTCTCTGCATAGTTCTTGGCCCCGCCCTCCAGCGTGCAGCTGCGCCGGGGCCTGGAGCTCTCACTTTCCCGGTCGCCCCGGTCCCCGTCCTGCCGGCGGGATTTCCCGGCTTCTCTTTTGTCCCGGTCCCTGTCTCTGTCTCTGTCCCGCTCTTTCTCCCGTTCCTTCTCTTTGTCGGCCGTCATGATCCGCCACGTGCCTTCCTCAGTCCTCTCACGGCTGGGCCTCCGTGAAAGGTAGACTGTGAGCCTGGGCTTCAGTCTTCTGAATTTACCAGTCAAATCCAGGGAAAATTTGGCCACACCAACAACCCCAGTGTTTCAGAAAAGCTGTGGATACAAAAAAGAAGAAGGCATAATTAGCATAATTTCAAAACCGCTCTCTCCATATAAAAAGACACATATCAAGACACATATCCAAGGCAAAAGACTTATTTCCTAGCATTACGGATCTCTTGCGGGTGAGAAAAGCAAGATAAGCTCCGGGTGATGAGGCAGCAGTGCAGGCTATTCTCAACATCACAGTAATTCTTGGCAAACCCTTCCACAACCACGTACGCTCTGGAGAGAACTTAGCAGTTTTATTTAAGTACTTTCTAGGTTCCTGCCTGTCCATATTCCCATTCTTTCGGAGAGATGTGGTGAAGCAGTTTTAAAGAGTAAAAGAGCAAGCGCTGCAAGTAGCAGAGCAAGCTATGCCACTGAACAAGGTAGCCAGGTATTGACGAAAGGCTTACAGCTTGCTGAACTCCACTGAGACAACTTGTCAGGAGATTTTTTTTATTTTCTTATTTAGTATTTTCAGCACAGAAAGTAGGAGTCTAGCTTGTAAGGCCACAGGAAATATGTAGCATAAAGCTCTATGACAGTATTAACTGGCTAGCTTCTCAGCAGACCATTTGTGATGACACCAGACTCAATTCTGCTCATCCCTGAGTGAGTGAGTGTGTGAGTGTGTGTGTGTACTCTGGCTTATTGGACTGTACCGCACCCCAACCCTCTGCCCTGGCTGACAGTCACCAATGTGATAATGTGAAGTGACAGCTCTGGAGGGAAGAATCTAGCAATTCTCTGGGTAAGGGAGGGGAGAGGAAGGAGGCAGAGTCAGTCATTTACTATGCCTGGTCTGCTGCCACTTACAGCTATCTTCACCCAGCCACCACTTTCTCATGCCATGAAGAAATCCTCCACAAAGAGTGAAGTGGGCCTAGCTGAAGCAGCACGGCGTCTGCACTACACTGCCCCTACACAGGGCGCCCACAAAGGAGGCTACTCACTTACTGCCAATGTTCAGCCGCCTCACCGCTCCCCCCCCCCACCCCCCGGGCGACAAATTAACTAGAAATAGTTATTACAGGCCCGAAAGGGATCAGACCAGGCAATCAGCACCCGCGTTACCATGGTCATGAAGGAAGAGAGGGGAGGTGAAAAATGAGGGAAGGGAGGAGATCGAGCCAGGTAGCGCTAAACCACAGCCGAGGGAAAATCGAACGGCACGTCTGCATTTAGGAAGAGAGAAGACGGTGAGGGGAAGAACAGAGAACGAGCAGGAAGGTGGGGGGAAATAAAAATGGCTTTTGGTTCAAGCTGAGACACAAACGCGCCCAGTGAAGGCTGTTTGACGACGGCGCTCCTCAGCAGCGGGTGCTGTCATCTCGTGAGCAGACACCAACTGACAGGGCAGCTGCTCTTGTCGTCGGCTTCAACACAAACACCGGGCCTGATTAAACTGCTGCCTCGTCACGGCCCCATTAATCACCTAATGATGAGTTACCACGGCGACCACTGGGCTGCCGGCATAGACGCACAGGAACACATTAGTGAACGCAGATGATGAAAGAGCTCTGAAGTGTTTCAACCGGCGTGTTTGCGCAAGGACACACGACCGCCACCAGTACATACCTAAGAAGGTGTGAAAAGGCACGGAGAGGGAGCTCATGTACCGGTGTCTAACATTAGCTTTCAGGTAAGAATCCATGAGAAAACACACGAGCCAAGCACATTCCAACTGGTCAAAATACGCAGCAATTTTTTCTCACACAAATTTATTTTGGGCTATAACAATGTATCATTTCACTCTGGGAGTCTGTCGAATTAGATTTATTCAACCTTTCGAGCATGAAGTAGTACAATTAAAGCCATTTACATCTGACACGCATAATGATCAAGTAATAAAAGCCACACAGACTCTTCTTCATCATTATCAATTTAAACCTCTTTGACATTCCTCTCACTTTCTGCTGGATTTACACTTCTTGTTCAAATTCAAAAGTCTGCCTCTGATTGGCCAGTTTTATGTCAGTCTGGGTTTTGGCTTTCATAAAAATGTCAGTATCATAGAACAGCAGTAACACATCCTGTAAAAAATAAATGAATAAAATCTCTATTGTGGTTTTAAATGACTCCCGATACATTTACCTGTCAATATGGCTACAAGTTTTCACAGATGCAACACGAAAAAAAACTTATCTACATTTTACTTCTTAGGAGTCAGTTTCAGAGAGTCTGGCTGTCTGTATTCCAACACCATGTCTAAGAAGGTGTGAGGAGTATGAAAACATTCCTGACTGCAACATTTGATATCCTGGGGGCTGTGAGAATCTGTGCATAAACTAAGCTCCTCTTCTGTCCTCTAATCAGTAACACAAGCCTCTTCCAGCAAAACCAACAAGGACTTTAAACTGTAGCAAATGGAGGGCTGACCCATACCCCTTTGATGTTTGGGGCAGATGTTAAGCCCCTGTGAGGATCTTTACAATCTAGGTGCCATTAGCTTGCATCTGGATACACTTTACCAAACTACCTCGCTCCAGTTTCTGAATCCCTAATTACCTTTCTGAAGTTTTTATCAAATATATTTTTAACCATAAAAGGGAAAACAGATCCTCATACAGATGCAGGCACCTGTTGATGATCTTTGGTTGCTAAAACAGAAATTCCATCATTTACAACAGGCCCAGTCGCCTCACGCTCGCAAGTAGTTGACTTGAGTTTTCATAAAAACAGTGATTGTGTCACCTCTGAGGCAATGAAATGTCTTTGTATTGACAGCTGTGATGGGAGCTGGTGAAGTACAGAAAGTCAGATACAAAGAGAAAATGAGGAAGGCGGCTCTCCAGCCAGTACCTGAAAAACAAATTGCTCAGTGGAAAGGAGTTCCAAACTGCCTGCTGGATGAATACCACTGCGAATGGGCAGGTGAGGCTGGGAGCTATTACACATCAATCACTGGGCCAGGACCCTTTGAAAGATACCAGCTGTCTTAATGGAAAAGCGAAGGAGGGGGAAGGGCTGCAGAGGGGTGGAGGGGTCCCAGCTAACGGCACCTAATCCACCATTTACATTAGTGCAACAGAGTCAAGGGCTAGCAGCCAGTGGGGCCGAGCTCAAATACATTTCTCTTTTGTGTGCCAGCTATAATAAGACCTCTGGCTTGAAAAACTACACAGTTTGTGGCTCAATTAACACATCATCCCCCACAATGACCACACAGTGGGTTTCTGTTACTAAACACAGCTCTGTGCTCCTGCTTGCCGTCTTTTAGGAGGTATTTTTTTATTCATTCCAATCACATTTAACTAAATCCATGCTCAGCTGTGTAGTCAATACAGGTTGTAGAATAAACATCCTAATTATCATGCTTTGCTTGAGATCCTATGACAGGGTTTATGTTTGAGAACGCCGCATTTAATAAAGATTACACAATTACACAAGATGTGTATTTTCTCAAAGAAAATTCCATAGGAAAAACAGAGAAAATAGAAATTCCAATGTTTAGATGCAAATAAACTAACAACGTATGAGCAAAATAGGGATCCACTCAGATTAGGGAGAGACTGAAATGTCGTTCATGGCATATTGAATTGGAGAATTATGAAGAGGCAAAATGTGACTGGCAAGGATTTAGGGCCGGCTTTGGAAAAGGATTGAATGAAATACTCGCGTGAATACAGATTAGAGGAGAACAATGTTAGCATGAGCATACACAGGGTTATTAACAATGAGGGCGGCACAAACTGATCTGAATAAACCAGCCGCGTCCTCGGTAGTGTACGGATCCTTGTTGTGGTGATTTTGAGCAGCAGCAGGTTTTCGTCAGGTCCAATCCATTACTCGGTGCGACCTAATCTAAAGCTGCCATCCAAAAGCTCCCTCGAAACAACAGCACAATGAAAGGCTCAGCTGGAGGGAAGGGGTAGGCCACTTCATAAGAGATGCTCTGTGGTCTTGACACCCGGTGTTGTCTTACCTGGTGCAACGGCTGCTTGCTTTATTCTGTGAAGCCCTCTCTGTTTTAGTTTGCACTACAAGGACAGACATTTGTCCGCTCCACTCGGTTTTCCAATTCACTGATAACTACACCCCCCCTACCCGACCTGCTAAAACAGAGTTGACAGACGCTCTATTTTCTAGACAACATCCAGGGTGGGTTTAGCAGAAACTCCTCTTGTGGAAAGAAATTCACTGCAGCGTCTAAATATCCAAGATGTGAAATGAAATGACAATACCAGTCCATACATTCTATTTTTTAATTAAAACTATTCTCCATCCCATGGTACAAAGGTACTTAAAGCTGCAGACATAAAGGAACATCCTCTGTGATCCACAGGGTCTAAGCCTCTCCCCCATCTCTAAAGAAGGCCAAATCCCCCTCTTCTCCCTATTTGTGGGCTCTCCAGGAGTTCTACAAATGGCCCTGAGGGGGCCGCTCCACAATGCAAGACCTCTATTATCTCCAAGGTTTGGGAGCAGGAAATCATTTTGCAGCCTAATACCAGCTACTTCATAACACAGCACCTCTGGGTTTTGCCACATATGTCTGACTCAAACAAAGCTGGCTGCCATTTTATCAGCTCTGACTGCTTGAGACATCATGTTTTGATGTGGCTGTTGGGGGTCGGTGGGCTTGTCCACCGTCACTCTTCCCCTTTTTTTCTAAGTGAGGGAGGCCAGAAAATTGTAATACCATGGGAAGCCACTGACAACAAAACAGGAGATTGTGAAGTATGTGCTGGAGGAAAACTGTCACCACAAACATGACTATTAATTGAATTAGCATTTAGATTTGTGAGCAGCATTTATTTACAGGG